TTTTTCCTGTAAATGTGCTTCACAAGCTTTCATTCTGCAATCCACACAGCTGGTCATCTTTCTTTTTTGTTGTGTCTAAAAGCAGCCATATGTCATCAGCAACCCTCTCATGTATATTGAACTTCCTTAGCACATCAGCTTGTCTCTTTGAATGTGTTACCTGATGTCTTTAAAGTGGCAAAACACAGAAAAGTGGGTCCTCTTGGTCCTTTGTTCATCAGACCAGCAAGAGTCAGGAATATGGTAGAGACGGGGTGTTTAGGCCCTTGGGCCATATCTATTCTAGCTTTGCTTTTTAATTTCTCCTTGCTTCAGCTCAACTAACAGAATATGGCTCAAATCAGCTCTACACTATCCAGTAGTAAGTGTGGCTATCCTTTAGCGATGGGGAAGCCCCAGGGCTACTGAACGCTGGTGTGTTTGGTGTTCACCCACGGCAACTCTGATTCTCCAGCTCAGTCTGTCTGTTCAGGTGCTTTATTTGGTGCTCACCATTTTTAATACGGGTGGTCTTCTCTAGGAATTAACAGAGACATAACAACAACATTTCTGCTCAAAATGTTAGCATCAGTGCTTAAGAACAATGTGTCTGGCAGGATGTATGTGCTTAACAGAGAAGGTTATTTATTCTAGGAGAGCTAGATCAGATGGGTAAGCTTTAATGAAAGTTTGGAAAGCTTTTGGTTCGGAGACACCCTTAATCTTTTCTAAAAGCATGCTTAGTAACCTTGGTTCTGCGGTTCTGTATGTGAAGGTCCCTCCTCTCCTTCACCATTTAGCATGGCTTTATATAGTTAAGAGATCGAAAATGTTGTGATGTGATGAGATGGGTGATATCTTAGGTAACTAGGACCACAATTTAAATGGAGCCCCTACCAATGCATAGTCTATCAGGGGAATATGCTCATAACACTTGCTGTTGCTGTTGAATTTTGAAACTTCTGGAATGTAAGTGGTTTCTCTCCTTCCTAAATGTGTTGCAGTCATCACTTAGAATTAGAAGTGCATCCATTTTGGAGCTCAGACCTGTGTCTGAAGCACGGGCTTATCATCTGTAGATAGAGAACTAGGTGTTTTGTGGCACTGGTATTTGACCATCCAGTAGCACTGAAGAGTTCATGAGATACCCATGGTTACCTTGGCAATAAAGTGATGAGATATGCTCGGTAGAATGGAAATTTTTAGAGGTGGTGAGCTTTTCAAAGCTCTTCCCTTTTTTATGAACGTTAACTCATTTGTTACTGAGATTCATGTTTAAACAGACAATTAAGGAATGCTTTTAATAGGCTGAGAAAAGTTAAAGGATGTCAGTGTATTCTTTAATCCTGCCATTTGTAACAATCCATAGCATTTTGTACTCATTATGCTTTTTAAGGGTGAATTATTTAGATTCTTTCACCTCCTGATCAGAAACTCCCCTCTGTGTTCCTTTGAATTCAGCTTTCTAAATAAGAAAATAAACTAATCTTATAAGAAATTTTATAAACTGTACCTCAGTCTGAGTAAAATTATTGCCTAAATATACATAAACTCCCAAGCCTAAAAGCAAATCCAACTACGCTGGGTGTAGATGGCACTTAAACACCACTGTTTATTATCATTTAATTTATTGGAAGCAAATCGACAACACTTACACAGAAAAAATACTTTAAAATCTCACAGACGACACTGAAGAGCCATCATTAAACAGCTTAAAATCTTGCCTTCACATTTGCGATGCATTTGGCATGAAATCATGATCCTTAGACGTTCAGAGAAAAAGGAGCTCCGTGGTACCCTTCTCCCATACATACCTGTGTATTTAAGGCCGTAATGACACTAGCCTGCAAGAGGTTCGGAAAGCACGGAAAGCTGTGACCTGTGCCTTTAATTCATCTCGGCTAGTTCCATGCTGATGAAGTGATCTATCATCATTGCTCCCATACTAGAGCATATATATTCCTACAAGAAAGTTTAGCCACTGCAGGGGTGACTGGACTAACACCGCCTGGCATCCAGCAGTGTACAGACTAAACTATAGTTTTTAGTTAGGGAATATGGAAACTGACAACAAATTATTACTTGTGGTCTTTTTCCAGTTTTCAAGTGCAAACATACCAAAGTTTATTTTAAATCTGAGCCAGTCAGACATTTAGTAATATAGATCAAAGAAGAAACGAAGGCCTCCCATGCTTATTATTTCAATATGATGTCTGTTCTAATAAAGTGTAAGAATGCCTGTGATAGACTAACTAGTAGGAATTTTCTGGTTCTGTAGTTTAGCCTTAAATATATACATATATTTGTAAATTAATCAGAAACATATTGTCGTGGTTTCAGTTCCTCAGAAAGCTGATTGTTTTCAATCCTTTCTTTAATCTTAGAAATATGGTGGCAGTCTGCCAGCACACTTTCAGATAAACAGTCCACTTCACGTTTAAAAGCCGTAGAATCACTGATGTTGAAGGGGGGGGGGAAATCAACAGCAAACAACACCAGTTCTCTCTCTCTCTTCCCCAAA